TGTTTGAGACAGCGAGGTTGGCATAGGATAGAATGACGTTTAGGGCTCTTGTACATAGGGTCGCTATGAGTTGCAAATGATTCGATGGCACATAACAACAACAACAACAATAATCCTGGCTATAAGAATAATTAAAAACTGGAATCGGCACATTTTGGGTCTCCATCTCAAAAAATGTTTTGCATTCTTCTGACTGAAGATAGGTAAATAGTACAAATTATCTGTTACACTTTCAGCTCTATGATTTGTGATAACTACAGAGCTTTTGGTCACTTTTGGCTAATTCCCTACCAGTACTGCTCCTCAATTTAAGATTTATTTATGCGGAAGCAAGAAGGAGCACTGGAGTTACCTTAGTTCTCATTAACAAGGAAAGTGCTATCCCAGTAGAATGGAAGGCACCACAGTTGGTCCACAAAACTGAGCATAATAAGAGTCAGAAAGGATACAACCAAAACCAAAATAGAAAATCTCCCCGTGGTGTGAATCAACTGTCCGATAAAACCTAACACCCTTCCCTATTCTTTTCAAACGCAGTGATGTTTCTAATAAGTAACTCAATAGTTAAAGCATGCCATCAGGGCAACTGCATCACATTTCAAAATCAACACTCGATTCACGTTTTTACAAAGAAACAACATTCTAAGATCAAATTTGGGATCCTCTCTTCAGGAGGCAATCTGTCCCTCATCAGTGTTAACAACTACAGCGAAAAGTCATTTGGTGCCTTGCTCGTGGGGCCGAGGTGGTCATCGGGATCTTGGCTGGGATTCCGTTAAAGGAAAAGGCAGGAAAGCACGCTGAGCTGCAGAGACAGAACTCGGGGAAGTTACTGTCTTCAAAGCAGAAATGTAAAGGAAAAAAAAAATTAGTAGACTGCCACCACTGAACAGAATAGCAGGTTGAAGAAAAATAAGCTTAAAATTAGGCGTATCTGTGAAACATGGGGGTTTCAGAAAGCAAGCCTAACCAGCACAAATTCAGACACATCCAGACATTTCCAGAGAGGCCGGTAACAGTTTAAATGTAGGTGAAATCAGGGAACGTTACTGTATAAAATTAACCCTCAAAAAGCTGGGCAGTTCAAGTAACAAACTCTTCATGGAAAGCCCTTCTGTCTCTTCTAAAGACAGACGTAATTAAGAATATACAAGTACTTGCTAATTCAGTTTTTCTCGAGTATGTCTCCCACTACAATTTATGCTAGAACACTTGAACAAGTAGGCTGTTAGAATAAACAAAAGATATTAATGGAACATAAAACTCCAAGCACACAAGGCAGTCGTTCTCTGAGTGGCCATCTCCCCAGGCTGTTCCCTATCTTGAGCTACAGCAGTTTTGCAAATGTGTATCCACATTGCCTGACAGTGGCGAGGAGCCTAAGGGCTTAGATAAGTCAAACAAAAACGGATACTAGCTAGCATGTTATCTCTGACTTCAAGGGCCATTAAGTTCTCCATTCAAGATAAACCACAGGAGGCTTTAAACTAGAGGGAAAGGATTAAATTTTGTTTTATATCTTTTTACCTTTCTATCACTTCACACCTTAAAGGTGAGAGTTCTGGTAGCTGTAGTGGTAAGGAGTTGCATTTCCAACCCCAAGGCGTGCTGTCTGTTCTGCAGGAGACAGAGGGACAGTCTTCTCCCATACAATTTACTGTCTCTGAAAACCCACCAAGGGTCAATGAGTAGCTTCCAAACTGACAATCCACAACACCACCTCGAGGGAGCTCGGGTGCTGGAGTTCTTCGGAAGCTGAGCTGCCCATCCAAAGGCTGTGCTGCGCTGGCTGTTCGAAACCAACAGTTGCTCTGAAGGAGAAATATGGGCAATTTCCTCCCAGACTGATGCTTCTGACCATGGATGGCAACGGCTGCGTGAGCAAGTGAAACCCGAAATGCTCAACCTTCTTTGCTTCTGGTATCATTTAAGAAAACACAAACTACAAATGACATCAGAGACTTCCAATAAAATGAATGATACTATAATTTCATACATACATTAGATTTCAACAGATGTTATCTCCCCAAGTGTTTTAACAAGGAACATTTAGAAAGTGGGCTTTTAAAGTTTCTTTTAAGTTTCATATTCTTGAAATAAGGGGAAGTACATAAACATAAATAACATCCATAATCCATACTTTAAAAAGATACTGACATCGGAGTTGGGAGGAAACTAACAGGGGATAAATAATGTATACTGCATTGAAACTAATGAGGGAGAGAACGGTTTAGGAGGAATATATGATTAGGTATTATTGTTATGACAAGAATCCAGAATGAAAGCTGCTTAGTGGACTGAAGGGGAGGCAACTGCATAACAAGGAAATTTTTATTTATTTATTTTTTTACTTTTCAAAGAGAAAAGGGAACTGGGGAAGGGGTGGGAGAGGAGGAAATAAATGAATGAATGGAAATCCAAAGTCTCTGTAAACTTTCATTCAATTAAAAAAAAAAGATAATCACCATAAAGATTTTTGCATCTTCCATTACAGGCCATTTCCTATGCTTTCATTCCCCGCCAAAAAAAAGGGATCAACCAATACCTGGTAAACGCACTGTAAAAGAAAAAAAATGTATTCTCTTAAGAAAGGAAATCTTTGCAGGTCATTACGTATACTTCTACCAAAACTATAAAGGGCTGCGCATACTCCAATTACAAAGGAATTTATCAAATCACCTCTTAGCTTTCCCCCCTCATAAAATAACAACAAGAAGAAAAGGAAACAACCTTAAAAACAATGTAACGAGCTGCTTTACAGATGGATCTTCTGCGCACCTGTCACACTGTTTCCTTGAGATGTCTACAAGCAGACACAGGCAGTATCCCAGCTTTCAGTGTCTGACTTAAGGATAACTCCCACTTTCCCTTCAATGTTATGCAAACTTGCCCTCACTTTGAAAGGACTGAAGCAATTACTACTTGCAACAAATCTCCATCACAAAATCTATCCCCTAGTATGTGTGCTGCTTTTAACTGTACGATAAGCCTTCTCCTAAGCCAAGAGAACTATATGTACCTCATCTAACTTACTTACCAATCAGACTTAGAAAGACAGAGTAAGGAACAGAGCTCATTCAGGCCAGAGACTGCCTGTATACTATTTCTCTATGTGTTTACTTTCTGAAAGTTTTTTTTATATTTATTGGTACACTCTTTTAGGAAGACTGTACTAGTACTATGTAGGGATATAGGCTGTATTAATTATGAACAAGAAATTCTTTTCCCCAGGCAAATCTTGAAAATATGAGGTTTTACCATTGAAAACAAATGACTTTCAATTTGATACTGAATCTATATTATTTGAAATAAGTTGTATACAATACGATGATAAGCATATAAGAAAACACATATTTGCTTACAATATCTAATTCTGAGAGTACAGTCAATCTTACAACAAACTTATTAAGGAAATCTTGTAAAATCTTCACGTTGCTGATAAGTACCTTTGAGTCGGAACTGACCCAGCTCTGACCCCCTGAGCTGGTTTTCAGAGGCAGTTAATTGCCGGGGAGACGGCACATCTTTCTTCTCTGCAGCAGCTGGTGGATTCAAACCACAGGTCTTTAGGATTGCTGTGCGGTTTCTTACCACTAGGCCACCAGAGCTCCCTCAAATCTATATAGATGAAGCAAAAGAACTCTGGCAAATTTTGTATACCATCGAGCTAGAGCTGACTCATAGCTGGCCTTCCACAGTTTTTCAGAGGCAGTAAATTTCCCGGGAGGAGACTGCTCATCTGTCTCCTGAAGACCAGCTGGTGGATTTGAAACACGTATCTTTGGTACAGCAAGTAGTTCAGCTCCTTACCGTTAGGCCAAGGTCAGCAAAATATTTTAACACGTTGCCTCACACTTTTAAATTGACACCTGTGCTTGGAAATACATTTTTTTAAATTTTTTTTTTTTTGCCATCATTTGCGGCAAAAGTGTTAATACAGCTTTAAAACATACCTGTTTGGAAACTAAAAACTGGTAACATCAAGGAAAAGTTACTGCTGCAGAATATCCTTTCTTTACCCCAGGTGCTCTGGAGGTGCTATGGTTAAGACATTCAGCTGTCAGCAAAAGGTTTGAACCCACCAGCTGTAGTCAGCTCGCATCAACATTTACAGCCTGGAAACCATGCAGGCCTCCAGGGCCCTCTACGTGTTGGAACTGACTTAAGGGCCAAGGGCTTGGAGTTTCTGCATGCAACAGTTAACAAAGATCAAGCCACAAACAAGGAGAAATACACTCTTACATAAAAACGGCAATGGTTCAATATTAATACAATTACTGGCAATAGACTAACATTACTCTTCCTTTTTGAGTACTAAGAACAAAACAGTTTACTTACTTTCACAAACTACTTTATTTTAAGCATGAACTAAGTTTACAGGTCGGTAATACAATGTCCTTACAGGCTACATGACTTTCTGAAACTCGTTTCCCAACTTTGAATCATTACCTTTTTCATAAAGTTTTAATTAAATAATGTTTTCAAACAACTTTAGCTCTTTAGATATCAGAAGCAAATGCATTCACAAAAACAGATAAAAAGGAGTGAAATGTGCTCGACCACATACTTTTTCTAACATTTTTTAAAGTTTCATTAATAAAAATACAAAAGACTACACAGATTGAAAAAAAGAAGAAAAAAAAAAAAAAAGAAAAACTTTTCAGGCCAGCTTTATAGAAACTATGCATTTCACTGAACCACTTAAGTCCTTTTTAAAAATAAGTTGGGGGGGGGCAGGATAGTAAGAGTTAAGTTGGAAAATGTAATATATAAGGCCAAATCAGTTAAATTCCAATACTGAGCCCAAACAAATTTTACTTTCTGTTCTGATTTAGAATATTAAAGGTAAAAAAAAGTTATGTAGGAAAAGAGACAATCTTTAAATCATTTATTCACTTAATAAATAAAAGCACAAATTTTTATTTAGTATGAAATTAGTGGAGAACTATAATTAAAAACTTGTTAAACGGGCAGGGGGTTCAAATTTTAAAAAGCATTACCTTCAAATAAACTGAGGTCTCTTCGTAGCCGTGGTCCATAAAGCCCTTCTAAAATACTCTCAAAACCTGTATTTTCAAAGAAAAAAAAATCTGTTAATTGCTGAAAAGAATTCTGTAATATTCAAAAGCCAAGCTGCTGGAAAAGTTTCATTTTTAATAATTAAACCCAAACACACAGATTTCACATACCATGCATTGCTCTCTTATCACTAAGCGCATTAAATTAACTGATTCAATATACAATACAGTTACATATAACTATTAGAAACTGCATCACTTAAATTCAAATGCAAGTATTTATTACTAAAGCATATAAACACTAGACTTTAGAAATATTTTGTGTTTAAGATCTGATGGATAAGAATCCAGGAGGGGTGGGAGGCTGGAAGAACAGGGATATGGATGTGCAGGGGGCTTGGGGCATTAATGTTTGGGTTGTACAATTTGATGGGTAAGTGGGTATGTGAGGGAAAGTGAAAGAATTTGTTCAAATTTGTATTTGAATTTTGTAAATAAAACTAGTAGAAAAAAGAATTCAGGGATAGGTTTATTATTTTTTAGACAGTATAATAATGATTAGAAATGTCATATATCATAATCCTGCATATTGACTAAAAAAATGCTAATTTATAAAAATAGTACCTTGAAATTCAATTACAAAAATAAAAATCAACGGGAAGAAATTCTTGCTGTGAAAAATATGTTACGAAACTTAAATCTACTTGTTAAATTTAAGTAGAACTATTTGTTCATCAATCATCATGGAACAATGAAGCTGGAGATAGAATGATTGAATTTTGTACAATCAATGACTTATTCATTGCAAATACATAAGAAACATAAACGCAGGTTATACACATGGATTTCACCTGATGGTATGCATAGGAATCAGATCGATTACATCTGTGGAAAAAACCACTGGAGAAGCTCAATATCAGCTGTGAAAACTAGGCCAGGAGCTGATTGTGGAACAGACCACCAACTACTCATACGCAAGTTCAAGCTAAAACTGAGGAAAATTAAACCAAATCCTCAGGAGCCAAAATATGACTTTGATTTCATCCCACCTGAATTTCAGAATCATCTCAGGAAAAGGTTTGAGGCCTTGAACACTAATGAGCGAAGACCAGATGAGTTGTGGGAGGATGTCAAAGGTATCATCCAGGAAGAGTGCAAACAGTGATTACAAAGACAGAAGAGGAAGAAAAGACCAAAATGGATGTCAGAAGAAACTCTGAAGATTGCACTGGAGCGTAGAGAAGCCAAAGCACAAGGAAGAATTCAAGATACTAAAGAGCTGAACAGAAAATTCCAAAAGGCTACTCGGAATGACAAAGCAAAATATTACAATGAAATGAGCGAGGAGCTAGAGTCAGACAATCAAAAGGGCCGAACTCGCTCAGCATTTCTTAAGCTCAAGGAACTGAAGAACAAATTCAAACCTTGAGTTGCAATAATCAAGGATGCTTTAGGCAGAATGTTAAATGATCCAGGAAGTATTAAAAGAAGATGGAAGGAATATACTGAGTCATTGTATCAAAAGGAATTGGCAGATACAGAAGAATTTAATGAACTAACATATGAGCAAGAGCCTATGGTGATGAAGGAAGAAGTTCAAGCTGCTTTGAAGGAAATAGCAAAAAGTAAGGCCCCAGGAATGGTATACCAATTGACATATTTCAACTAATAGATGCTGCCCTGGATGTGCTCACCAAGTTGTGCCAAGAAATCTGGAGAACAACCACTTGACCAACTGACTGGAAGAGATTTATATTTATTCCCATTCCAAAGAAGGGTGACCCAACTGAGTGTGGAAACTACACAACAATATCATTGATTTCACATGCAAGCAAGATTCTACTGAAGATTATCCAAAAACGAGTGGAACAGCACATCAGCAGAGAATTGCCAGAAGTCCAGGCTGGGTTTAGAAGGGGTCGTGGTACTAGGGATATTGTAGCTAATGTTAGATGGATCTTGGCTGAAAGCAGGCATTACCAGAAGAATGTCTGTGTTTCATTGATTATGCAAAGGCATGTGACTGTGTGGATCATAACAAACTGTGGCTGACTCTGAGAAGAATGGGAATCCCAGAACATTTAATTGTGCTAATGTGAAACCTATACTTGGACCAAGAGGCAGTCATCAGAACAGAGCAGGGTAACACTGCATGGTTCAAAATTTGGAAGGGTGTACACCAGGGATGTGTCCTGTCTCTATACCTTTTCAACCTGTATGCAGAGCAGATTATCCAGGAGGCTGGGCTCTATGAGGAGAATTGTGGCATCAGGACTGGTGGAAGATCTATTAACAATTGCGTGATGCAGATGACATAACCCTGCTTGCTGAAACTGAGGAGGACCTCATGCACTTGCTGCAGAGGGTCAAGGACTACAGCCTTCAGTACAGACTGAGGCTCAATGTCAAGAAGACAAAGATTCTCACCACTGGACCAATTGGCAGCATCAGGATGGATGGTGAAGAGATTGAGATTGTTCAGAGCTTTAGTTTGCTTGGCTCCACAGTCAACACTCTTGGCACCAGCAGTCAGGAAATAAAAAAACGTATTGCGATGGGGAAGTCTGCTGTTAGGGACCTCTCTAAAGTACTCAAGAGCAGTGGTGTCTCTCTGGAGACTAAGGTACACATGATACAGGCCATGGTCTTTGCAATCACTTGTTATGCATCAGAGAGTTGAACAATGACTAGGGAGGACAGAAGGAGAATTAATGCCTTTGAGCTGTGGTGCTGGAGAATAGTATTGAATGTACCATGGACTGCCAAGAAAACAAAAGATTCATCCTTGAAAGGATTAAACCAAGCAACTCCTTGGAGGCAAGGATTCTGGAGCTTCGTCTGACATACTTTGGGCATGTTGCACAGAGGGACAGGTCCTTGGAGAGGGACATCATGCTTGGGAGGGTGGACCTTCTATGAGATGGAATTATTCTGTGACTGGGGTAATCGGGATGGGTGTGTCAGAGGCAGTGCAATCCGCACAGGATAAAGCAGGGTTTAGGGATGTTGTACATAGGGTCGCTATAAGTCGCAAATGACTCGACGGCACATAACAACAAACAACAATTTAAACATGAAGAAAGAAGACAATTTAGCATTTGTGTGTGTGTGTGTGATTTTTATGAACGTTTACAGAAAAGATTCGTTTTCATTCATTCACTGTTGCACATTTTCCTCCCTACCACCCCTCAGTATGCTTTAAAAAAAAAATCATTCACTGTTGCATAATTTCCTTCCCCCTTTCTCCAGTCCACTCTGTTATGCACCACTTATTCTGGGCTGCTGTCATCCAAATAACGCCGAATCATATATTTCTTTTAAACAGTTCTTGCCTTTATCTGTTTTAATGCAGTGTTCATTATTATATTCCCTCTCAGTTTCTTCCCAACCCCTATGCAAGTCCTGTTTTAAAACAGTGGTGTTATACAGTATTTGTCGTTTTGTGACTGAGATATTTCATTCAGCTTAATGTCCTCCAGGATCACCCATGTTGCATAATATTTTATGGGTTCTTTGGGGGTTCCCCCCCCATGCTGCGTAGTAATCCATGGTGTGAATTTCCCATTGTTTTTCTATCCATCACTTGGGTAGTTCCCAACTCTTTGCTACTGTGAATAACACAGCAATAAACATGGGTGTACAATATGTGTTTGGGTGGCAACTCTGGTTTCCTTAGGGTATATTCCTAATAGTGGACTTGTGTCAAATGTAATTTCTATTTCTATCTTTTTCTTTAAACTCAGGGAGTCCATTAATTTTATCGTATAACAGAATCACAAATGGGCATTATTTCCAACTTTTTGGGAAAGCACCATACTGCCTTCCATAGTAGCACCACTTTACACTCCAGGATATGAATAGACGCTTCACCAAATATGACATTCAGATGGCAAAAAATACATGCAGAAATGTTTGAAAACGCTAGCTATTAGACAGATGCAAATCAAAACAACTATGAGGAAACATCTCATCTCAGTAACAGCAGCAAAGTTTTAACAGAGCAACAAACAACAACTGTCGGTGAGATTGTGGAGAGGTTGAAACCATTATTCACTGTTGTTGGGAGAGCATTTTAGCATTTCTAACATGCAATGTTTCTATATGAAACTGTTCTTAATCGCCTTCAAGTTGAGCACAACTCATAGCAACCCTATGAACAAAAAGCCTGAAGCCTTTTTGTAACTATCAACATTAATCAAAGTTCATAGAGATTCTGGAGGCATGTTGTTCAGGAGGTGGATGCCACTCCTAAACTGTTGTTGTTGTTGCTGTTATGTGCCGTCGAGTTGCTTGCGACTCATAGTGACCCTGTGTACAACAGCCCTAAACTCTGCTCTGTCCTGTGCCAATCACATAGTCTCTGACACTCCCATCCCGATTATCCCAGTCACTGAATCAATCCACCTCATAGACGGCCTTCCCCTCCTGCACTGTCCCTCCACCCTCCCAAGCATGATGTCCTTCTCCAAAGACCGGTCTCTCCTCACAACATGTCTAAAGTATGTTAGATGGAGCCTCAGAATCCTTGCCTCCAAGGAGCCACCCGGTTTAACCCTTTCCAGGACGAAACTGTTTGTTTTCCTAGCAGTCCATGGTATTCTCAATACTCTTCTCCAGCACCACAGCTCAAAGGCATCAATTCTCCTTCTATCCTCCTTGGTCATTGTCCAACTGTCTGATGCATAACAAGTGATTGCAAAGACCATGGCCTGTATCAGACTCACCTTAGTCTCCAGAGAGACACCATTGCTCTTCAGTACTTTGGAGAGGTCCCTAACAGCACCACAGCTCAAAGGCATCTATTCTCCTTCTATCCTCGTTGGTCATTGTGGACGATTTATCAACAATCTGCGTTATGCAGATGACACAACCCTGCTTGCTGAAACTGAGGAGGACCTGAAGCACCTGTTGCAGAGGGTCAAGGACTGCAGCCTCCAATATGGATTGAGGCTGAATGTCAAGAAGACAAAGATTCTCACCACTGGACCAACTGGCAGCATCAGGATGGATGGTGAAGAGATTGAGATTGTTCAGAGCTTTAGTTTGCT